TATATGATATTAATTATTTGGTTGTCATTATATAAATATTTTTATTGGAATTTAAAATATTTACTAAGTATATGCTTATATTAGTATTTTATGCATATTTAATATTTATATGTAAAATATCGAAGAAAATATTTTTGCTAGTTTAGGTTATTCAATTGATAAATAATGCAAAGCTGATGACAAAAATATTTACGTAGATAATTTTGTAAAAGTAATTTTAATTATAAGAAAAAATTGTCATGTACTTATCCAAGTATATAATTTTTTTTAAGTTATGAACTTACTTTATTAAGAAATTTGGTTTTCCTACAATAAAATCTATCTTGTATCTAAATTTATCTCAACGATATTTTAAAAAAGAATCGTATTTTTGAACAATAGTAGATATATTAATTTTAAGTTTAAAATACTAGTACAGAAATATAATCTTTTTATTATTCCGTACCTCACCTGACCATGGAGTCTCATTGATCTAGCGTCTCATACTTTTTTATTTTGTAACTGTTATGATTCTTTAATTTACATGGGTTTTGGTAGGGTTTTCCATTAAAATCAATTTTATCAAACAAATAACTTAAAAGCTATTAAATAACTGAAACTATATAACAATAAAAGTTATATTTTTTACCATACGTTTATAATATTGACTATAATTATAACGATTTTATTTAAAATATACGAGTTTAACTACATCGAAATTATTATAAAGAAAAATTATATGAAATAATTGTACAAGCTCCTATTGTATTATCTACCTAGTAAATAGTTGAATAGACCTTGCGTTTAGTCAAACGTCTTATTTTAATTTTATGACATTATACCACGATAGAACCAAAAAATTCTTATTGATGTCTGTTCTTCTTTGTAAATATTAATGTACCTATGTATATTTTTCAGCTTGTATTATTGTTACAAGGGCGTCATTTCACATTTTTTCATGGTATGCAAAACTAATACTAAAAATCTAAAGTAATAGGTACCAGTTACTCGCATAGTCGAGTCATCCCATAATTTTTTTTCAACAGCTTTTTTGTGTAAATATAGATAATTTCATAGAAATTATACCATAAAACAATAATTTTGTTAGTAAAAATGGTTTTTATTTTGTTTTAACACAAAATTATATGGATCACCACAGCAAATTGTTCAATTATCAATTAGATCAACAATTCCTAAACTGTGCACCGCGCTACCCTAGGGGCACCACGACCATTTTCTAAGGGCACCACGGTTTACGTACGGTTCATGACAAATAGTTTAAAATGTATAAAATTGTTTTTCCTTATGGTTTTCGTAAAAACTTTATAGCAAATAATGTAATATTTTCTATTGTATATTCGGATATTCTCATTTTAACCTTATAATAATTTTATACAATAATTATAATCATAATAACAATAATTATTATTTATTTAAGTTTAAAAATGCATTAATTGATAATTAAGTTAAATTTTAAGAAAATTAATAAAATTGGTTATCAATAGGTTTTTTTTTGTTCTGTAATGTAGTTCACAGCAGGGTATTGTGGCAAAATTGGGTTCAAAAAAAGGCAACGCTGAAAAAAAAGTTTGGGAACCGCTGAATTAGACAATACAACTGATCAAAATTAACTTTATTCGATCATTAGACGTTTCGATAAACTAGTTCATGTTGTACCGGTGATCAACAAAATATTGTGACAAATCAAAAAAAATTACAAAATTATTGTTATTTTTTTAATACTATAATTTTATCAAATGATATACACAAAAAGTGTGTTAAAAAAAAATCATGGAATGCATTTGCACATCCTTGCATTTCACAAATGACGCCACTGATTGTTACCATATATTATATTATATTTATATAATACAATATATATATATATATATCTTCTCTCAAATTAGTACGAAATCTATCGCATAGTCATATCAGGTGTATTATTATGTGATTAAAAATATCCATTTAAATGATTCTGTATGTTCCATATATTTTAATGATCCGATCAAATTGAAAAAGATAGTTGCTAAATTACGTAAAATTTATTTTTATTTGTTTGATTGATATCAACAAAAATTTCAACTGTATAAGATGATCCCTGTAAATGATGTTTTTCTTATTTGATTTAACAAACACACAAGAATAAGCATTGTAGGTAACAGAAATAATAGCATTACGTAAGAAGATGCTATAATTTATTATCAGTCGGAAAATATGGAATTAATATGTAATATGAAATCATTGAAAATACGAAAAACATGCAGTAAGCCACTAGTTTCAAGTTACATAATAGCTTGATATTTGATGTATTAATGTTATTTTTTAAAATATTTCTTTTTAAAAATAATATATAATTATAAAAACTAGAGGTAAGATTTGAATTCAATAAAAAATTACATATAAGTACTTCAAAATAAACTAAAAATAAATCTTATTTTATAACAGTGCAGTTTAAAATTAAATATTAAATAGTTTTAAATTACATTTTATATAATTTTTAAATTAATAGTTAACAAAAAAATTGTATAAAACAATGTGTAACAATTTAATATATCATGGTATTGATAACTTTTTCTAGTAAGATATTATGAATATAATATGGTAAGTAATATATTATAAAAGTATAATGATAGTACATAGGTACTTTTAAAAATTATCTCTATTTTCTATATTAATCGATAACATTATTAGTATATTTACAAACGATTGGTATTTTATAATATTTTAATTTTATATTATGTCATTATTTCAACTGGTGGTATAGTACAAATTTAGTAAACGTAAGATTGCTCGTAAAATAGCACATTACACGAATATAATAAATCATAAAAAAAGTCTCTCATTTGACATTAGCGTAAAACATTGTTTTTGAAAATTAAAAGTCTTTTGTAAACTAAAAAACCATGAATGAAAAATTATACTTATGAACTTGCATATTTCAGACTAGGATTGTTTTCTTGATATTATAATATATATTTAGGAAATTATCACGAATAAAATCCAAGTTCTAATGTTCTTTAAATTTAAATTACGATGTTTTTGAAAATTTGTCGCAGTGTGGCGTGTAACGAATCAGCTTAGTAGAGTTTAATGATGTTTCATGATACATTTAATATGAAAATGATTGATATGAAATATTTTTAAATCATATTAAAACGTTTCTAAAATTTATACTACTACATACTTTATTAACTTTCTTTTTTAGTTAACGAAGTAGTTAGTAAATAATAATACTGTCAATTTAATGTATACGAAAACATGTTAGAGCCATTAATAAGACTTCAAATATCATTTTTAAATTATAATGTAATATCCCTTGGAAAACATTCCTACAGTTGTAATATGAAATATTATAAATGTACTTAAATATAATTTCGGTTACCATTATTAATCATATTCACCATAAAACGTTTCATCAAATTGGAACATATATAATTTCTTATTAATATTATTAATTATTGTATACATTAAATTACTTATTGAATATTATGTACATAGTGTAAACTATTGCTTATATAAACAGAACTCAACCAATTATCTATAAACGAGTTGTAGAATCGTATAGCGTTTATCGTTGTAATAATATTCTTGTAATCTAATTAAGATTAGAATTATTATGCCTCATAGTTATAACTGAAAGGTATTACGTAAATTAATAACCGTCCATCGTTCCTATTTTTTTCGGATATAAAATGAAAATCGACATTACATTTTAAGGACGCACATACTATAATGTGAAAAATAAAATAAGATTTATCAACTCGTTAACGAGATAATTAGTTAATCATTCATTACCTTTATCGTTATGAAAAAAAAAAAAAACATTAAATTGCTATTAATTATCACCCGGTACCGCGTAGGTAAATTATCATTCTAATAATAAACAAGAATTTAATTATTCTGTTGAAACGATTGTTTACGGAGTCATAAAACTATCAATTTTAAATTTTCAAATAAAATGACTGATTAAATTACAGTAAACCCTTGTAAGTATATGTTATACACACGGAGTAAACGGACACTTTAATATATGTAAGGGTTGAAATTTTTGTTATTTAATTACGCGTTTTTCTTGATTACGTTGTGTTTAAATAATTGAAAAATTGACCATATTGCAAAATAATAATATTACTATGATAGTCACCACATCTTACGTTTCGAAAAGGTATACCGTTGTACTTTGTGCATAGAATCCAAACGAATGTATTAGAACGCGATCGGTTGACTTGTCGACCGTAAAACACGGTTAGACAAGTAGTCCTGTAAATGCCTGCAAACGGTTGGAAAAGTTTTGAACTTATATACTTATTCACATTGATCTGGGCACGACGTCCGTCACATTGATAACGATATCATGCGACGGGTCAACATGAAAACGTAATTGATTCGGTCAAAATTATATTGTCGTGGTGTATAGTGTGTGACCAGCATACGAACAACGTGTAACTGTCGCTGTCGTAAATATTATAAATATATGCGACCTCATAAAAAGAAATAAAATATTATAACTATGAGGTGTGCTGTGTAAGATCTCTCGTGGCTCGTGAGTATATAAAATGTATAAAACAAATTAAACATAACACTACGATTGTATGAGTCACGTTTATCTTGATGATAAATCGCCCCTGACACTCACAACACGGAGTAACCCACCCATGTACGTGCATATATTATGTACATGTCAATATACAATATATTATATTGTACAGTATACGGGGCAGAAACATAACCACATTGTTCATACGTGTTATCATTAGCAAATATGGGTAAGGTATTTTTAACCCTTAGAGTTAATAAATTAATTTAGAACAATTTTGAGCTTAAAGTTAAAAATTACTTCTCTTATTATTAACGTTTAAAATAATTGACAAATAAAATGGAAAAAAGAATGTAGTTATGAATGTTATTTTGATCCCTACAAAAATCCAGATATAGTGCATTCAACATTTCCAAAATCATTATAATTTCGGTCGTTTTTAAAAAAAAACAATAGTTCGTACAAATAAATTAACTATACAAAATTAGTTTACTGATTAGTAACTGTGTATTGTGGAAAAAAAATTATCTCATTGGTAACCATAATATTAAAAGTAACTTAAAAATTAACTTATTTACTCGTAAACGCTCAGTTCTGGTCATTATAGGTATTGCGGTGTATGCGACGGGCTGCCTGTGTTATGTACAATATTTACTGCTTAGTCTTCATTTCCCGTATGCTGTATATCATTATATACATTATGCAAATACGGTGTTGGATCGACACATTGGAATTGTGCTACACAATCGTCTGCAAATCCCATTCACGTGATACTGTTTCTCCATGTTCGAATGTATGGCGATTCGTCCGTCGGGCAAATGAATCGATCGAACTCTTTGGACCAGTTGGTCGACTTACTCCCAACTGGTTCCATTATATTGTTCCACAATGCGTTTGCGGCTGAAATACAAACACGTGCCGGTGATCGATTATAACTACGATATTACAGTAAAAAAAATGTCGATCTCGACCAAAATATAAATTTTTCCTGACTAACGGAAACATAAGTAAACGATCTCATGATTATTATTTCGGTTGTCGTCCGACAACAATATGCTTACAGTTCACTTAAGCTTCTGTATTTAACGAAACTCTCTGGGTAAGGATTATTTTTCGATATTTAAATAAATACAAAAATAGTTTAGATATAAAAAATAATATACCTATACAAAGTCAATAAATTCCCGATTCGATTTTATTGACTTAGTATATACCTAATGATAAGTTTTTAGTTCGAAACCGGTCGTATTTTATAATTATAATAATAATCGAGGCAAATTATTTATTTGTTTATTAATTTATTTATATATTTAAACTATTTGTTTATTTATTAATATATTCATTTACGAGTATAAACCGATCACTAGTTTTTAATTTTAATTTTACTGATTATTGCTTACAAAACTATGAAGTTAAAAAAATTTTAAACATTTAAAAAAATATTTCTATTTAACGAATTAATTGTATACTATTATTTTATAATTATTTAATAATATTTGTAATTCAAAGCTTTCAGAAGTGCTGTAAAATTAAGTTTCATAATCAATAAACTGTTTTCGACGCTACTTATTATGGAAATTATAATATTCCCGTAATACTAACAAACTATTATTAAGTAATATTATTTATTACTTTGATAGTTGCACAGTATTATCATTAATATGTAGTTTTATAGTGAATATTTGACTGTAAAACTAACCATAAAGTTGAATACGAAAAGAGAAAAGATCATTATTATATAATTCGTAGTTATATAATCAAATTAGCCATTCCACTAAATGTCTAGGAAAATAGCCAAAGATTTTAATTTTAATGCGATTTTATTATCCGCCTAGACATTTAGTAAAATGCCTAGTCATTTAATTAAATGTCTAGACGATTAACTATATGCCTATTTTGAGTCAGGCAAATAATAAAAATGAAAAATTTATTATTTAAAAAGTATGTAATTATAATATAATATTTTATTCATTTTTTATATTTGTATTATTGTACCTACTCCTATAATTAGTAATTACTCGTACTTATATTTAGTTTTAAATCAATAGTACCGAAGGACACGAAATTAAAAATATTTCACATTCCTAAGCACATATAATTCCTAAGTACATATATTTTTTTTTTTTTTTGTATAAAATAGCAATGAATAATTAATAAATAATATAAAACAATTTTTTAAAACAATAAAATAATATTTCATTTTTATTATTGAACTGACTTGAAATAGGTTAAACGTCTTAAAATTACTTAATAAGTTTCGTTTTAACTAAGCATTTAAATTAATGTCTAATTGGTCAGTTAAAACGTATACAAATTAAATTCTTTAATTTTTTGCTAAAAAGTTTAATAATCTTACATTACATACATACATACATACATCGTATTCATGTATTTTATCTCCACATTTTGTATTAAATCTATAACACTACGACCAAGTTACCGATCGGTCGTTATAAATTGATAATGCATCCACTCACCTCTGGCATAACCTTTCTGGCTGAAGTGAAAACAGTCCGATGATAAGTATGAAGTGTCAGTGCTGTTGAATCGATTTACCGGAAACGTTATATGTTCCGTGAACGTTTGGAGAACAACCGCAAAATCTTCTTTATCTTTCAGCTCTTCGATTTCCACCTAAAACCATACGTACGATTATACCGTAGCTGCTAATGTTTCGATATGCAGTGAAGTGCTATAGAACGATAGAAACTGAAAATAGCATGCTACTTATATTAAAGTCGTCATTCGTGGGTTGTCCTCGGGAATTATAACGAAATTACCATTGTTTTAATTCAAGATTATGGCAAGAATTTGTATTATTATTATTCATTAAACAATACATTACTGTGACGTGAAATTGTTGTTTTAATAATTATGTCAGTTTTAGGTGAAAATAGAACGAGCTGTGTGCTAGCCCAATATAAACCATATCATACAAGTACAATAAGAGAACAGATGGTTTTTTTTTTATGTACTTACGTTATATACAACTAATCCATTTTATATTTTATAATATAAACGTATAGTTGACAGTACAATAATATAATTTTAGAACGACACGGTTGGTATTTACTTTATTCTTAATAATTTAATTTTGATGTTGTTGTTTTCATACTTTTTTATTTTTTTGTATTTTTCGTTTAAGTTTTGATGATCGAAAACACAATCTTTTAAACTTCGAATTACGCATCGTATCAATGTAATTTTAACTAAATGAGTTGACGGATCGATATATTAAATTAATTGTTTTGGTATTTGTCGGATAAAATGTATACGAATAAATTAAATATTGATAAATTATGACAAATTATAATATATAATACGAGTACGTTGCAAGTGACATATAGGTGAGTGATTTGGTGATGATCATATATTTTTGTGGCATAATTATTATGTATTGGGTTCTCCTATTATTTCAGTATTAACGAGTTATTATTTATATTAACACGTTGTAATGTAATAAAGGTGGGGTCGGTCTAAGATTTGTAGTATAATTATTATAATTGCTGACAACAACGACACGCGTGAGATGCACCCTATCGCATTCACCCTAATTTCCTATGCGGATTCTGTATCCACACGAACGATTTTCTACTCGGCACCCCAGACGTCATGTTCTTATCTGTCTTGCTAACCAATGACGTTTTTAATACAATTGTGTACATAAGTCGTATATATATAATTGAATAATATATTGATGTGGCACTGAATTTTGTTAACCAATAGACGTTATCGTGATCTTAGCGTGAAATTAGTATTCCTAATTATTCGATCGGGGGAGTGTATCGACTTGTTAGATTTATTTGGAAGTATCCCGCTTTCAGCGATCTATCATTTAATTTAAGATATCTATTGACATTAAAATTAAATATATTTAAAATTTCTACGGGTAAACATCCTCCCCATCAGACCGAGCTTTCTGTCGTATCTTTATTATAATTGATTAATATGAGAATTTTTTGTTTTTTTGATTTCTTCTACTCCATTTCACTTAAGTTAAAGATTAAAGTAAAAATCATTCCATTACCAATTATCATACGTTTTGAAAGATATATAAAATGCGAAATGCTTTCTTGAAAAAAATCTTAACTTTCATAATTTTTTAATAGAATATTATTTAATTGTACTCTACAGTAAAAACGTTGAAATTTTAAAGATAATGATGATTTTTATAAAAATTATTACCATAAATGAATGTAAATAAAAATAATTGTATACCATTGAATTTAATTATTAATTTTTAATTTAAACATGTATATTTTAAAGTCGTTTATTTTTATTGATTATCGTTTTTGTATGAAATTTAATTACATCAAAGGTGATAATTTTAGCTGGCTTTTCTTCATGTAAATTATTAATTTATGTTTATGCACAACTGTACACTCTATTATGGCTGAAAAATAACTATTCAAGAAATTTGAAATTTTCGCTATTGATTAATTAAAAATACCTTTATTTATTCTATTATTTAATAGAAAACTGTAGTCATTACGATAGTTCACATAATATTTTTTAACGATAAGAAGTTAATCATATTTAGTTTTAATCTACACTGTAATTTATATGATTAATAATAATAATAAAAAGAAAATTATTCAATTTATTTGTGGAAAAACAATTAATTATTATGGAACGATTATATATGTATTTTTTTAAATTTTTTTTCGATGATTCCATGTGCTTAGGAAAATTAAAGAGAATAACTAATAACCGAATAATACAAATTTCCCATCTAAAAAGTATATTCCATGAAACTTTTAATACTGATTTACTGCCTGAAAAAACATCATTGCAAAATTAATAATAAACTCCTCACTTTCCTCAGGATCTAAAACTTATGAAAACAGTAGGTATACACATATATTAAGTGGTTATATATATATCCATTTTAATAATTTAAGTGATTGCACTTTTGGGGTATAATACATTTATTTTATAAGAACTGCTTTGCATTTTTATATGGCATATTTAAAAAAAAATTACTTTTAACGTCTTTTATAATAATTTTGGTGATAATAACTGTCTTAAAAAAATATTTGAAAGTCTGTAGAATTAATTAAAATTTTTAGTTAATTTTACTATAGTTCAGAAAATACTATTAGAGTGTTAAACTTTTAATGATTGTTTTTAATTTGGAAAAAGTGTTATTATTTTTTTCAAAATTGTTATGAAGTTTGAAATCGTTGATAATATTTTAAGAGACATTCAATTTGAACTTTCTTCATAAATCGAGTTAAAATAATAACTTACTGATATATTTTTATATTTATATATCATATGAAAATATTGATTAATAGGCTTCTCTGAATTATAAATTATTTATAACTTATTTTTAGTAAGTATTGAACACATTGTCACCATTAATATGGATAAAAATGCGTATGTCCCATAAAAAAAATGTCTATTGAATTTATGTGGTGACGCTTTTACAACTATATAGTTCTCAATCAATTAATAAGGAAACAAACACTTGTATTAGTAATGATGCAACTATATTAAAGCTTGATTGGTTTATATTTACCTAATGATACCTGTAGGTATATTATAATATATTATAATATATTGTGTCAGTGTTACGTAGAAATTGTAATTGTTTTTAAATAGGAATTTTATGTAAAATTTAACTATTTCAAATGAACATTATCGTACTTTACGCAAACCTTTAAACTGAATTAAATGAAATCGAAAAATTAGTACATGGAAATGGAACATATATTAAAAATCTAAAATACAAATATACAAAAATAATGTTTGAAAGATAGAAATGGGTACGAAAAAAGGAAATTCAAAAATCAAAAACATGCATAAGTACAAGTTACTATTACCGTGTAATCAAAATAGGTGTTTCTATTACCGAAATCTAACAAACATATCTTATTTCTGTATTTGTTATATTTTAAATAAATTATGTACATGAAATAGTTTTACTGTACATATTTTAAAATACGTGCTACACCCGAAAAGAAATGCATGCTGTACAATAATAATGTTTCTTAGTTTAAAAACATGAATAACAAATCAAATGTTTTAATACACGGTAAACTAATTGTTAAATCATGATTTATGTAGTTATTGTTATGGTAAAAAGTTTTGGATTATTGTAACAATTAATAATTCTATAGAGATTGGATATTTAATGGTTTATATATTCATGCATATTGCTGTAAATTAATTTATCATTAATAAACAAATAAAATAAATAGTCTTACAATTTCTTTTTCGATTTCTTGAAATCTTGTCATTAGTTTGATAAATTCCGGTAGTTTATCTTTATACTGTGTCGCATATAAGCATGGGCATTCAACGATGTGGGTTAAGGAGCAAATCGGTGGCAAATTATTAAACTCTAGCAATATTTTCAAATCTAAAATACATAAAAATATTGTGAACAAAAATCAATGCACTTGTATATAAATATATTTTTATTTTTCATATTTAGAATATATTATAATTAATTATAGTTGCGTTTTATACGTATATAGTCATATTATATTTAATACTATGATTGTAGATATCATAAAATATTACTCTTGAAATATTTACTCTAAAATAACGTGACTTAGATTTACATTTTCGATTATGTTATACATTGATATTACACATTATTACGTTAGTGGCACTCGTTGTGTATCACATAATTTATATCACATTAATGTCATTGTAAATACAATAAAAACTAACTATTTTAGCACCAAAAATATTTGTTAAAATATGAATTTGAACTAAATATGTTTACACAATTTTCTCTTTGGTTTAATTTTAAATTGTAGATACTTAAAAAATAACTTTTTATTAATTGTATCATCGATGATTATTGTCAATTTTTCATAATTATTGTTGTAAAATATTTAAACATTATTTCATTGTAACGTTCGAGATTATATTTGACAATCGTTTACACCGAGTTTCAGCTAAATTATAGTTCATGATTATTTAAGTTAAGTATTATGAATCTAGTAGTAGATATTTATAGTTTCGTTGATTATTTAAATATGAAGCCTCAAATTCAAATATACCTAAACATGACATGATTGATATTCGATTAACTACCTACTGAAAGAAAATGATTTTTTATTTTATAACTAATGAATTAATAATACTTAATGTGATAAAAATGTGTGGAAAGTTTTCCATTATTTCGAAACCTGGTGAGTTAATTTAAAAACAAACAAAATGTACTCCACTAGAGTTCAGTACTAGTATGCGTAAAATCGATCATATTGTTTTACTGTTTATACACTTTATTTTTCAATTTATTGTTTGAATAAATGTTAAACTAAAATGTATTAAATTTATGTTTAAGAGATGAGTAAGTAACTATGGAAAAAGTCTAGGTATCTCAATACTTCAGTCATAATGTCTGGAAATGCAATCACATTTGAAAACATTATAATTAAATATATAATTATAGTATATTATAATAGTGTTTTTAAATGTTAAGTACTGCAAACTATAGACGTTCCGATTAGAATTTGAATTGATTTTAAACCGGGTGCCGAAAATTAGCTGTTTAAAAAATTCAATATTACACCGAGTGCAGGATAAGATCAGAGTAAAAATTTAAGCATTCAGTTTACGCCGGATACCGGGTAAGGGCCGAGTCTTAATAATTTCATCGAGAACTCAGATTTCAAGTAATTTCCGAATACCTGGAACTCCTATAATTTATAATAATTGAAAACAAAATTAAAGAAATTATAATACGTTTCCTCATAATCGTCAATCGAATTCGTATTTCATAGTATTGATAGAACAAAAATAATTTTAAGTTGTTTATAAAGTTCAAATTATATACAGGCAACAAAGGAAGTAAGAACTACAGCTACAAGTGCGTCACGCATCTTGACTGTTGATTGATGGGGAATAATGAGTCTTGATTGTTCTTATATAATTTATTAATAAATACGAGATTTATTTTTCAAATTAATAGAACGAAACACCATTTATTCACAATAATAACAACCTATGTTAATTGGTTTGGTAATGTTTAATGTACCAAATAAATAATAATTTATAACTCATGATTTTTCCTGTTACATTAATGAGTGTACACACTTTTATGCACAGATTATCAGTCTGTTAATGAGTAGGAGTCGAGTAAAAACGAATTAATAATCCGGATACCGGGAATTGTCCGGGTAAGAAATGCAGTATTACACCGAGTACCGGGTAAGGGCCGAGTGAAAACGCAACGTTATGTCGGGTAGAGGGTAAGGGCCGATACTCAGTTATGACATCGAGTACTCAGCTATCAAGTAATTGCCGGATACCCGGAATATCTCTACTGAAAACCATAATTCATCATAGAGATCGAGATATTTGCATATTTACATTCAGAATAAGATGAGAGGAAGAGCGCGCTAAAGACCGGCATCGGGCATCTTTTCTTCTAACTTACGTTAAAATAACTGTACATTTAATATTTTTCTTTAGTCTTTACTTTACACTAAGGATCAAAGCCGGCCCAAGCAATAATAGTGCACAAGGCAAAATAAAATTTTGCCGCATCTAAAAAAAAATTGTGCTCTTATTTTAACTTAGCCTCTCCTCCTATTTTCTATCGGAAATCGCGGAAGTGATTGTGCGGTTATTTATATTTTTGGAATAATTGAAAACTCCCAGCGTAGGCCGTAATATAAAGTAATATAATAACTTTAGACCAGCGTTCTCAAACTGTGGGTCACGAGTCAATTTTTGGGAGGTCGCAAGAAGTTTTTTTTAACTATACAGATTGTAAGAAACAAGCACATTCATCACATACGCCTAATTATTAATTAAGTATTATATTATTATTATTATTATTATTATTATTATAAATATATTATTATAATTATTATTATTATACGCTAACACTGAATATGCTGAGGTGGGTTGGTTATTAATACATTTTTCACTTCTATATTCTATATAGTTCACTACGTCAATGTATACATATACATGAATGTTATACTAAACTTTTATTGTAGTATTAAAGTAATATTTCCTATTAGTAATACTACAAAAAAATAAAAAACGTACACCAAAAAAAGTTAATTTGAATATGAATTAAATATAATACGAAAATATAAGTTAGATAACAAATAGGTATAGTTAGCTGTATTTTCTATAAATAAAAAATAAAAATAAATAAATGTTTAGCCTGGAGTATTATTTATTATTTATTTATTCATTACTATACATAAAATATTTATTTATAAAATCATTTAAGAGTATTTTAACGATTTACTAATTTTTATTTATTTTATTACTTTATCAAAAATAAAAAGGTAGTCAGGTAAACAATTGTCTGAAAATAATAAAAGTATTTAGATTTCTTTAAAAATAATTGTAATTTTATTATTTTTCTCTTTATTGAAATATTTTAAAGGTGCACTCACACAAGTATTATATGCACATAAATTATACTGAGACAATTACACGGTAAGTAGTAGTTTTATTCTAATGTATGTGATGAACATAAATTATGTAGATTCGGATAATAGATAATGTTTATAGTTCATGATTGACGATCGTACCTAGTACAATATTAAATAGTGACAAACATTATCTGAAACATTAATTTGACACGTCGAGTAATTATAGTATAATTATACGAAATAAAATTAAGCTATAATTAATGTTTTGCATAATTTATAACGTTTTTATATTGCTATTTAATTTTCTAGCGAATCTTCTTACCTATACATTTCAATCGATTAGGCTGTTACAAAATAAAAATATTATTCGTGAGCTACATATTAGTGGCCATAATGAAATCAATTTCGCAGCACGTAACAGCAATAATCGAGTTATGTAAATGAGCAAATATTGAGAATCAATAATTTTAGCAATTCGGAGTGTACATGAGCTCTTTCGGGTACCTATTGATTTCAAAAATTTCAATAAAGCCATGGAATTTACTAGTATGGTTCACATCGTTTTATGATCATCTAAAACGATTATTGTTCTATATTTTATCATTATCTTTCGTGTTTGTCATTGCAAATACATTTACTGTTTCTCACGAGTTTTGTACGATAACATTTTTTCCCCTTAACGATTTTGCAGTCTGCAATAACATAACTACCTCTTTTTTTTTTTTACTTTTTGCGTATAATATTAAGTGCATATATATATATAATGCGCAGTCTATAATTATATATTAACCATTCAAGGTTTCGAGTGATACTTAAAAATGTTGTAATTAACATTGTACATTTAAAATATATAAACAGTACAATTAATTGCTTCCATTATTTCGATACCGAATTATAAAATTATTAGTCACTTGTTGTATACATATTATAATATTAGTTAAAGGTGATATGATTTTCATTGGGTGTTTTATATCTATTACACAGATAACAGGGCTAACTCGTTTAATTAAAGATTTAATTTGCATATATTATTTAATATTATTTTGTATGTAACCAGTGTTTTAGTCTACTACATTGATTTTGTTCATTAAAAAATATATAAGATCGTAATTTAGAATGTTTGATATTTTATAACATAGTTTTTATTGAAATTATTCAAACATCACATTGATTTTTTTTTAAACCATTTAAACTTTAAAATGTCAAAGAAGTTAATACATTTTAAATAAAATAAACATAAATGTCAATATTAATCCTTGAAAATTAAATGATTTATACATTAACACAGGATTATTATTATGTTTGTTACGTCTACAAGTATTACAGATACATTTTGCAATATTTATACACCTATTACTTTTGATAAATTTACCATACTTTTAATAGATAATTGGACTTACTTGGACTTAAAATTATATTCACTAGAGTCCGTGGTAGATTTTCCTTTATGTATAGTAATGCCGATAAAATGTTTTCTCTGTGTTTTTCAGCGTATTTGGTATAATCAATGTAACATATCTCTAGACAAATAGTATTTGAGCCCAACATTAATGATATCATCTGTCAAAAAAAATACAAAATTAATATCTTTATTATTGAGAAATACTATAGTATACAAGAGTACATATTCGTTTTACCTTCCAGTCATCATTTAGATTAACTCTTTTATCCATTTTGATCCTTTTTACCAATTCTTTAGTCATAAAAAGAGTATCTTTACTGAGAGCACCAACTTCAGCAACGTTGAATTGAGAAAATCTTTCTTCGGCTAGCGAATCACCATATGCGTAGCCAATCAATTTCGGATTGAAGACTTTTAGAATGTTTGGTAAGGTTAAAAATTCTTTCCATGTACCTTGTCCTCCTGTAGCACATAGTAAAATACATTCCAAACAGTGTTGGGAATAGAAAATGCAAAAGTTATCTAGATAAAGATAAAAGGTAATTTCATTTTTATATGTAGTGTACCATTAAGCAGTATTTACATGTAATGTACAATATTTAATGATAGGTAGTTAATCTTTAAAATGTGACACAAAAAAAAAAAAAAAAAAAAAAAAATGAAAATTGTTCTGTACGTATCAGGATGAATATAGAATAAATAAAAAATTATTTTAAGTTAACAATATTATTTTTCATATAATATTAATTTGATGATTTTTATTATTCTATAAGTAGTTACGACTTTACGGGTTCCAAGTGTGAAGTAATGACTATTCAGCGTATGAGTTACATGTGTATACTAAAATCAAATACCTACTATATTTGAAACTTCCATGAAAAAAATAAGAAATTAAGTTTAAAAATACCAAAAATATTTTCCTGACATGAAAATACAAACAAAATGTCATACCAAGAAATAATAATTACCTATTTTAATAATACAAGAATTATAATTATGAATACAAAATCTATATATATATAAAAGAAAGTCGTACAAGAATAAAAATAACTCTAATCTTAGTAAGAATACAGACAATTATCTAGATAAGTAAAAATGTTATCTTAGATGAGTAATTAGATAACTTAGCGTTATTTATCTAGATAAGATAAAAGATCAAAAAAAATCTATCTAGATAATTTATCTATATAAGTCCCAATACTGCTTTCAAATCGGGTTATTGTATCACAATAATTATGCTACTTATAACGGTATATTATTTTCTTGATCTAAAGCTTGATTTTATTAATTATTAGACTAACATAAAGTGTTAGTGAAATAGAAATCGAATGAAGGAAATTATTGAAATACCTAGATTTCGACCTAAATAATAAAAATTAGTCTGAATGAAAATCATTTTTTTTAATTTTATTACTGGATTTATAACTGCAATTAATCAAATATTCATGTAAATATATAGATATTCATATATTTATATAGAGTAGTTAATAGTTTAATATGATTTAAATGTTACTATCGATGGTCAAATGTTATATTTTAAGATCCGAGAAGTTAGTAATTTCCGACTTGAATTTGTTCTTGTTTATTTTACCCTCTGATAATATATACATAATTTATATAGAATAAACTGTTAAGAGAAATTGTATATACATCCGCGCAAATCGTATTTTAAAAATTTAGAAAAAATAAAAAAAGTTGATCAAATAAAATAATATATAGATGTTAGGATCAACGAATCGAAAACAACAAAGTTGAAAGTTACTAAACCTAGCCACCCTCTTAGACCGTCCGCGGTCCTAACCGGAGTTGGTTCATGCGACCACGCGTGTTTAAATGCGATCTGAGAACATCTCACCACCGGTCCAAGATACTCCGCGGTGGTCGACCATTAATTGCGGTAAGATGAACGAAAAGCTTCCGGTGCCGACCGTAAGCGAATCTCCGACGGCGCCGATGACGTCTATGTCACCTGGCCTCAGTTCGTGTACGCTCGAAGGCCGCGTAGCTGACCTGGTGCCGTTGGTGTTGCAGAACGGCTTGGTCGACTTCAGCATGCGCCGTTGGGTTCTCTAGAAATTCGAAACAAGCATGATCAGTGATGCAATTTGAAATTCAATTCAATTAAAAAAAAAAAGAAAAAACAAAAATTGCAAATGCAATTCAATGTAATTTCTCGTGCGTTGACGATCGACTTTGTTCGGAGTGCACTACATCCACCCGTGTTTGGATATGGCACCAATTCCTACCGTCGACGATGGCCCCGGAAATGCGGTACGTGAATATTGCCGTGGGTGGGGATGGAAATTCACACGTTTCCTGTACCTTTGCCGTTGAAAAAGTTAAATAGTTAAAATCGATGAAATCGAGTTGACGTTGACGTGTACACTGTTTAAACAGCCAATAGCCGAACTAGATGACAATAATATAAAAACATACGACAAGATCGTTGTTTAAAAATAGGATTTTATAGAAATTTAATATAAATATACACCATAAATTGTCACAGTGCGACACTCTAGTCGTCTGAGGGAAATTGTTCAATCTCCTATCGAAGTAGATCTTGAACGAAAACATTTAAAACCGTATTTTATATTTCTTCGCTTCATAGTTCATACGTTGTATACCCAGGTGGATTTTCAAAATAACGTTAAGAGTCTACGGTATGCGTGCAGTGCACCCTATGAGAATACCGCTGAATTACCTGTAACATCCAAGATTTGTTCACGAGGCTCTGCGAACTGAACATGTTTTGCAGGAATCGCCGAGTAGGGTATAGCATGCGGCTTTCAAGCTGCATCATAGATTTCGGCACGCCCGTCAAGTTTTCGTCGGGCAATTGCTGCAGCCATTTCGGTATAAGGAAACTCGTTTGCCAAGTTGAAGTTGCGGTTAAGCACATCAACGTGATGCACACGCCGACACTTATGATCTCTGGAAATAACGCGGAAACATCGCAGGTGTAATATAATAGCTGTAGATTATTGACAATTGAGACCAAAACCATTTGTCACTTGTTCAATATTTTAATTACACGATAATATTAAGTGATCTCTTAAGTAATTCATATTTTTGAAATATTAACAAAATTCTGTGCAATTAAATCAAACGCAATCATTAATTTCATAAAATTTTAATAATTGAAATATTTATTTTGTTATGCAAATATGATAATTCATCGCACAAATAAGTACATCTATAAATACTTTTTTGATAAAATATATTTATTAAAATTGATCATTATTTTCGTTTAGTGTATTGTTGAACACATTAAAAACAATATCCACTGGTGGACACTACATATTCAGACGTATTACGGTTATTATGTAGAAGTAACTTTGACAACGAATTGTTTTGAAAACCATTAAAATTGACTTCAGTTTTGGAAATTATATGAACTTTGTAACTGTACAAAATGACGTTTTTCGATTTACGATGGTATTTTTCAATCTTACATTAGTACTTATTCACGGATATAGTGTCACTGCATTTTTTTTTAATATTTTTATTTTAATTTCAAATTAACACACTAAACTTTTTCACAATAGCTCATAGTATAATATCGCATTGACTTTATATTAATTTACAAATAAAACGAATTCTAAAGTCACAACCCCACATGACGATATATTTGAACGCGATAGTTGTTATGGGGTGAAGTGTGAAGTAAGGTATTTTCATGGGAAAGACGGATTTGTGATATTATTTGTTGAACGTATTATGTAATTTCATATTACACGATTAACTTGAAAATTATAGGAAATTACATTACATGTTCAACAAATAATAACACAAAATTGTCTATGCCATGAAAATACATTGTGATGGGTCGAACCCTGATTTTTTAAACCGAACCGAACTTGAACCGAATTTTAATTATTTTTTCGAACTTGAACTGAACCGAACCTTATATTATTATAACCTTATAACCTTCATATTTTCTACCGAACTGAACTGAACCGAACCTATTATGATTTTAAGTCAAACTCTAACTCGAACTCAATACTTTTTATCATGTACATTGTACCTTCCTACAAATTAAATCAACCATAGTTATTAATTACTATTGTATTTTAAGTTTTCGTATTACCTATTCTACATTTTAACTTTTAAGTCTAAGTAATTGTATTATTTACAATACATTTAAATTTTAGATAATTTCTTATTATTATTATTATTATTATTTTCAAAACCAGTATTATGCTCTCTCGTGTTGTATTGTAGCTTATAAAATATTCATTGAGTATTTAGTAGATATTGAATGTAATATGACAATACAATCATTACATTTTAATAATATATATAAAAAAAAAAAGTAATAATAACTATAATTCACAAATATAGAATGATTAGTAGAATTTATAATGTAAGACGTAAGTTGTAAATAAGTTTTTATTAACAGCACAGTCGTGGTATCGGAATATTACCATGGATTTACCCAAAATAGATTTTAACCTCTACAATAAATATGATAAAAACAAAAATAGTTAATTGAAGGATGTAGAATCTAAATTGTATCTACATTGTAGATACACTGCCTCTATTAGCGATAAACAGTGTTGTGCTTAGATAAAAAAAAATTATCTAGATACAGATAAGATATCTGGATTTAAAATTATCTAGGTATAGATAGATACTGTAGAAATTGAATTTAGATATAGATAGATAAAATCACTTTTATTTAGATATAGATAGATAAAATCATTTTTATAGATATTTATATAAGGCATCAACGTTTTCATCCGTTTGTAGGCGAACTCTTTTGGTCTTGGGTAATGATTATATAATGTAACGATCCATTTCAAAATATAAAATATTTCACCAATACAATAAAATTGAAGTCATAGACAAAATTATGAAAAATATGAAGACAGTCTGACAATAAACACTGAACACGTTTTGGATGAGAGTGCGCTGCGTAAAATACGAGTTTTTAATAAATAACGGACGTTTCACGCCTAATATTTATTTTGTTGTACAATAATATTATGTAGACACATCAAAGTACGAATTCATAGAATTGGGGTCCAGTAATGACAATTATTTAGAGCACACGATTACATGAACAATGGACATAATTTATATATAAATATTAAATTTAAGGCGGTCGAATGATGATGGAGAACGATCAATTTCTGTGTAGGTACAGCGTAATGCGTATTGTAATATTGCTATTTTCTTATCGACAGTTATTTCGGTATTTTATTATTTATAAAGCATCTACCACGCAGCTGTAATAATAACCAGTTTAGACCTATGGTGCGTTATCTCTGGTTCTAATATTCTTGTAAATGCTCTTTCGGCGTTCGTAATACTACAGAACAATAGTAATACGGGCATGAGACTTCCCTATCTGGGCCATACTATGAAATTATAAATAATTCCCACCTCCCATGCATATTATGTAGGTAATAAGGTAATATATGTCTATATACATAATAAATTGTCATTGTTCATAATTCATAATAAATGTTATGTAAAACTATTTTATAACCAATTTTTGCAAGTAAATATACAAATGAAATTTCTTATTTAGTTATTTATTTTATATTGAATGATACAATTGTAGATTAGTTATTACTAATGATTAGCTACAGATTTTGTGAATTATCTAAAAAAATTTATCTAGATGGCTATGATTTTTGTCTAGATGAAAATTAGATGTAAATTTTATTTTTTATCTAGATAAGATAATGATATGAAGTTTTTATCTAGATAACATATCTAGATAAATTTATCCAAAGCGTAACACTGGCGATAAACAAGTTATTAATGTTTTGGTCGGCCCAGTGTGCATGTGTAAAATGCGACTGGAAAAATAATATTATTATTATAATAATAGCATTATTATTATAAATAATGCATAACGTGCCCTTTATAGATTATCACTTTCTATCGCCAATAGTCTAATTATTTATAATTAATCATTATCAACTTTTATTTTTCAAAAATAACTTTTGAAGAATTGTACAAATATTTGGTTTTCGAACTATTGTGGCCAGAAAATCTGGTTCGAAAAATATTATCAAGTTCGATTTTCGAACAGTAAAAGATGCTTGATAGTTCGGTTCGATTTTTTTTCATGCCGAGTTCGAATTTCGAACAGTTCGATCCATCACTAGAAAATACCTTACTTCACCTCAGAGAGTAGTATCTTAAATGTCGTAGTTCAATATCAGAAATATTAACAAGAAAATTTAAATTTAACCATTGCCTACTGTCACAGTTATAGTGGTGGTAATTTTCTGCTCTCGAATAATAATAAATTAATAATATATTTATTTGTTTTTTTTGTATGTAACATTGAAAATTATTCAAAAATAGATTGCGGATGTAGCGTACGAATTAAGTTTTATAATTTTTATAATGCGCATAATGTGATAAAAGAAACACGCGTGTTGAATCAGATAAATTGACGAAAATATTGCAAAATGCAATATAATAGAGTTGAGCATTCATTAGATCAGCAAAAACAGTTGCACTTACACGAACAGTTATAGAATTGGTTCGCAGTAAACGCAGGAAAATAAATACACATTATTTCTACAGGCAATACGTTACTCGAATCGAATTTCAAAAGACGGATCATGTCACGGGCTAAAAGATATACACGTATACGTATTTAAAATCCGACGTACGGTAAGATCGTGAATCCTAGGCGACGCACAGTGGGATGAAATGCATTCCTAGGTTACATAAATTAATTACTCTAAAACTATATCACAAAAAAAATACAAATACAATTTTTACACAAAAATATCTTTAAATAAAGTAAATATATGATTAAATCAACATTTAGTAACATTAAATTGATTGCAGTGAAATAAAATCATAAAAATAAACCTCAAAGTTGTTTATTATCGAATTAAATATTAAGCGAATTTATACAATATTAGGCGGTCGAAGTCATGCGATTCGTAGATATGCAACTCAAAACTATTATCAAGACTAGACACAAATGTTGTAGGGGAAAATAATCGATGATAATCGACGAATCCAGTAAACACTCGGAAAATTGACTTTTGGCAAGCTACGAATGCATTTCGTCCCGCTGTGCGCCGGGGGCGGACGGTGGTACATTACCTTTGCAGATCATCGCCGCGCGCGTTCAAGACGGCCGGGTGGTTTTTTTGTTCGGATATCCGTCGCACCACTCGCGAGTAGACGATTGAACCGCGACGACGGTGACGACGGGGAAAAAAAGGAAAAGGAAAAAAAAAAAAAAAAATGAAACGTACGTCAACGGCACAACACTAACTGCGCGCCGAAATCGGTCTGATCCTCTGGGCGGCGGAGCGCACGTTCGTGCCGGCGGTCATTTCGATTCCTGTTTCCGTCGTCGCAGCTGTTCGCGCGCGCGTTTCGGCCGTGCGAGCGCGTAACGGCGGTGGGCAAGTTCACGGCGTTCAGGTCTCTCCCCGCTTGAGGCCGACCTCGGACCGGCTGTGGCCGACGGGTCGTGTTTCCGATGACCGTCACACCGGTTACGGCTACGTCCTTTGCGAAGACGGAACGACCGCCGGCCCGCCGTACGGCGTACCGTGAAAAAAAAAAAAAACCCGTCGCTGCTAATTACCGTGTTCGCGGGGAGATCATGACGAGGTTAGGCGTCGGGCGAAAACAACACCGCATCGTCGGAGGTTATTTTTTTGGTGCTATCCGTTTGCGCGCGCTCGCGTTCGTCACACGTCGCGATAATCGTACCGCGCGCGCGTTGTTACCAGCGATAGCATCGCGCGCACACGATAATTGAACGAAATGGAATAGCGAAAAAGAGAAGAGAGGAAAAAAAAAAAAAACACGAATAAATAACGTAAGACCCACTGCTTCTGGGGTCGAGGTCTCTCGCGTGCTGAGAAACCTTGCCGCCGCCGCGACTTTACAACTGCCTCATTGTTGTTACGTTCCGTCGTGCGCGTGGTCATATTTTATTAATTTTTTTATTTTTCCTCTTCCCATCCGTATCATCGGAGTTGTTGTCCGCTACTCGTCCACGACTCTGAAAGGTGCCTGTCAGAGACGACGACGACTGCGACAGAGTGCTGGTTTAGTGTTTCACAAGGTATATTAGGTTTTTTTTTTTTTTTTTTCTCGAAACACTCGTCAGACAACGACGACGAGCTCCCATGCGAAATTCCCGCGATGTATACGCGCGGTACAATAAATATTATACCGCTACAACAGCGGAGACAAACGTCGCCATTGTTGTGAGGTACGTTTTATATTTCTTCCTGTTGTTAAGTTCATCTTGTACGGATCAAAGCTATCGTTTTTTTCATCGCCGACCTGACAATGCGGTCCACCGATATCACTGCCAGCGGTTTCCGTTTGAAGTCTGTTAGCATCCATCGTTACTTACATCTAATACTCGTACCCTTCTGGAATCGAACCGCAACACGTTCGACACAGTTACGCCGAAGTTCGATTTGCATAATGTTATAATTAGGGTTCAGGACTTGTTGTATACAGATTTTATGAAATACGCACTTAAAATAACCGAAATATACGCAAAAATATGCAACTAAATATTTTTTTTAATGATAGTTAAAAAATTAGATTTATTCGTTAAAATGTAGACATTTTTTTTTAATTAGTATTTTTCGATAAAAATAACACTATATACATTATATTACTGTATATGTTCGATATAATTTTCTTCATCTCCTCCTACAATGACCTTTCCCATACTAGCGTCCGTTGTGATAAGACGTATACTTAATAAATTCTACATATTTAAACACAAGTCTGCACACTGGATACGGTGTGTCGACGTATGATATAAATATTTTGAAATATTTTGTATGATTTATATTTGTTCATTAATTTGAAGATAATGTGTATATATATATATATATATATTAATCGTAATCTATTTAAATATATAAACGTAGAAGCTTATAAATGGATTTTTTTTTATGAGTAACATGAGAACTCGATAGCAAGTATAAATAAGCGCCTGCATATTTTCACGAGTTGAACATACAAAAAAAAAATTCAAATTGTACCACAATAATTAATGTCAGGAAATACGAAGAAAAATATTTAAAAAATTAATTTTTTATGTGCTTTCTGGTTTTTATTCTACAGTTTTTCCTTATCTTTTATTGTACGTGCATAACCTATGACACGGTACAATATTTATGTTTTTTTATATACGTGATACGTTTAAGTAATATGAAGTATGGTGAAAAAATAGTTTTAAAAATGTATAAAACTATTAGAATAAGTACATTTATTCATTTATTCTAGATGTTTCAAAGTATAATAAATAATCGAACTCGAAAGAAAATACGAGTAGTACGAATTCATGTAATAATTTGATAATTTTCTTCAAAATATCATTGTTATCATTTAGCCAATTATTTTTATGACACGTTTACGTACACATTTTGTGACAAATTTATTTTCTGGTTTAAATTGTTTCGTACATTTTAGACAAAATGTGCTGCTCAAAATAATGCTTTACCAAATTTAGTAACTTAATATTAATATAATTTTAGATTAAGAGATTTTTTTCTTTTAGTTTGTCTATTATTGCTAATTTTATTCCAAAAAATAGTTCACATTTGTATCTTTTAAATTTTTGTATTTATATTATATATATATTGTAATTTCTAGAGAATAATTTCACAGTATGGAAAAAAAGATTAATTTCAAGCATGCCACTTATCATTAGTACTATTGGTTTTAAGTTCTTATTATTTTAAAATATATATAGCTGAACATACTTAAAAGTTTTTTATAGTTTTTACTTAAATATAACAATATCTAAAAAGTTTTAATTGAACTAAAAATATTGTATGATATAAAACTTATATTTTATATTTTAGTTTCAGAGTCTTGCTAATATTTAACTGTTTACTATTTTTCTAGAAAAATAGGATAAGTAAACTTCAGGAGAAATCAGTCATTGTGGATCTTAAGAATGTTAGTGTATATTATGATAAGTAATAATATAAACTTATTTATTTATGACAATATATACCTAATCTAGCTAAATAACCCGGCTAATGTGTAGTTTTTTGTGTTAAGTGTTATTTTTTTGTTTATCAGTTTTTATATTATAGTTAGCTTTTAGATATTTTGTCCCTGGGTTGTTCGTGTATTGTAACAACCAGAAACTGGCAAAAAATTAGTATATTTTAGTATTTCGAATACAAATTTTAAAATAAAATTTTAATCGGAGAAATGATAAAATAAAATGTAACCTATTCAACTACAACTTAAGTACTCTATATTATAAGACTATGATATGGTTATACTTGACGTATTAACAATGTAAGTATCTTTAGCAGAAAAGGCTCGGATTCAAAAAAATCCTACCAAATATAATGTTCAAGTCCTATGTAACCCTATTTCTGAAAATATGGCCAAGAAATTACACTTCCAATGTTAAGCACTTTTTAACCCATTAAGTGGTTTAATTTTGGGAAATACATTCTTAGGGAGCCAATATATCATGAAACAAAACTACTGTCTAAATTTCATATTATTTATTTGTATTATATATAAAGGTAAAATAGCAAAATCATAGGTTATTAAATAAATGTTAAGCGAAATCACAAGTTTTTTTTTAAAAGTATTTATGGTTTGAATTTATATAACATTTATTAATCGTACGAGTTAATTTTTTTTAGTTTTCTCTATGATAAGTAAAAACTTTATAAACGTTAAGTGTCTTATTTTTTATTCGCAGAAGTAACGTTCCAGGGAAAGATTAAATAAAGTCGAGAGCATTTTTTATTGACTTATAATTACAAGTTATCATAAGACCCATATTATTGTGGTTGGTCTTTACTATGTTGATTGGTATATTTATTATTTACATTTCTTAACTATCAGTAATTTCATTTTTTATTTATTATTTGCTTTAAATTATGGTTAATAATCTAAATAATCATGACATCAAATTATTTTTTTTCTGTATATACGATAGCTTGAAAGTTTTCATCTTTTACTCCTTTAATTCCATTTATATGTTCTCAATTTATGTATCATTTTCTATCCATTTCTATATTTTTTATTTTCAAACGAATTGATTGTTGTGCAAAATTAATTGAGATTGTGATTCAAAATGTAAGTTTCACTTGGTTTTTTTTTTTTTTTTTTGTACTTTGTGACTACCTATACTATCAATTTGATTGACAGTTTCCCATCCTTTACATCTGCTGATTTATGTAGTGAAATAGTTTATAAAATATAAGTTATATATTACAGAACTAAAAATAAAAAGAGAGAACTCTTTTCAATTGTTTTGGTATTATAATCGTTGTAACTTAAATTATATATCTATAACTCAATGGCAGTAGTTTTATTGTTTGTTTGGTATTATCAAGGATAAATTAACTAAAATTTGTTTTTTTCATTTTATATCTGGTACATTGTCACCAGCATTTATTTTCTACCGCGCATAATCGAATTTTATCAGATGAAAAATTATATATCTATATATATTTTTTATATTAAATTACACGAACATGAATTGTTCGTATAAAAATGATCTGTAATTATTTTATTTTGTAATAAAATTTCAGGTAACACTCGATGAGAATTTTTTAAGTTGAGATTTTATGCTAGTACATACTACTTCATAATATATGTCAAATATTTGTATAAGATTTGATATTTTACTAATAATTTTGAGGAAGAAACAAACTTTTTAAAAATAAATTAAAATTATTTATTAAAACTCATACTTGATATTTTGTATGTTAAAAACACTTTTGTTCACATAATATTCTCTCATATTATATTCAATAAAAAAAATTGTTTTTTTTTTTTTTGTATCGATTAAAATTAATAAAAAGTTAAAATGGAAATTTAGCATTTAGCATCTGATATAGAATTATAACTATATATTACAATTCGAATTTTCATGTACTAGTATACTATCTAATATTCCGTTTTTGTCCAATTACAAATAAAAATAAATCTAAATTTAAATGGAGTATAATATAATAGTAATAATAATAATATTAAAATAATTTATCTATTTATATATATATATATATATACATATTTCTTTCAACATATCTTTGCTTCTATAATCATCTAACTTCATTAGAACAATTTGCTGTGATCGGAAGAAACCGGTTAATAATAGGTGCAGTCGTTAGAAATATCAATATTTCATATTTGTAATAATATCTATGAAGACTCAATTATAATCATTATTATCAATAGGTATCTAAGGGTGCCTGCACATGTAGCCACTTAGCAGCGCTTCTTAGCAGCGCTGCTGTTGGAAAAACATTAGTTTATATAGATGGTTTCACACACGACCACGGCCACTAATTTGAAGCGCCACAGACGGTGTCAGTGGCTGGCTTCGCCGCAGAACGCGGCGTCTAAAATTCGCGCTTCTCGAGACAGAACGTGTTTTTAGATTGGGGGTTTCACACGCAACCACAACCGCGCGTCTATTTTTGTAGCTGGTCAGCAGCGCGACGGCAGCGCGTTAGTATTGTGATTAATCCGCATAGCGAGT